AAAAAACAGCAGCAGCAGCAGCAGCGGCGGCGGCGGTGGCGGCAGCGAGGTTGAGCCTGGCTCTCTTCCACAATTTTCTTACTTTTAACCAACTCCCCCTTCGTTTCCTCCAGCGTTCTCTCTACGACGGTGAAGCTGCCGCGTTCGATAGCGCGCCGCGTGTTATCTTCTGCTGAAGCGGCAACCATACACTGCCCCGTCCTCTCTTCAAACTGCGTTTTGTTTTGATTCAGCTTTCGCGCAGCGCGCCTCCTGCTGCCGAACGGCGCGGACCTCGATTATTCGTTTTTGGGAGGGTCTGCTGGTGTGGGCGCTGCAGCCCCACTGCAGGGGCCGTTTACAGACATGTACATCTCGTGGTTGGCTGATGCGATTAGGATGCGGTTTGTTGTGTGGTATAGCTGTAAACCCAAGGAAGAGGGCTGAAGGTCGCGAGACCGAGAGGAGCAAATGTCACCTTGGGCGTTGAGCAACGAGCCCAAAAAAACATGTTTCTTGGTGTTGTTCGTCTGCCCTTGAACTTGAAGAGAATCCAACCCTACAGTCACCTCTATTGGACCTGTGTCCAGGTTTGTGTAACGCATGAAGAGCCATGCTGCTGTGTGGACGCAGAGCTACCTGTACCAACAAATTGACTTGATGCGAAGGTTATTCATTATTAACAGCGGGATTCTCAAGAACCAAAAAAAGGACCAAATCCGCGTGCCCCCCTCAAATTTCGCCGAATGGACCGGACGTTTTTTTGGCCCCAAATTCCGCCGCTTTAACACCCCTAACAGTGCAATGAAGCTTCGCATGGAGTTTCGTCGACATCTTCCATAAACTGGCCTAATACGGTCGAAAAATGGTCGATTTATGACTTGCCGTCGGTGGGCCAAACTGCGTTGGAGATAGCCTCTTTTGCGGGACCCCAAAAATCTGTCCCACTATATGATTTTTTTATTTTTTCTTGATTCTACCTTACCTACATATTCCAAAGACCGTGTTTACGAATTTTCATGAACTCATTCGATAAAATGATGAAATGGANTATGACTTGCCGTCGGTGGGCCAAACTGCGTTGGAGATAGCCTCTTTTGCGGGACCCCAAAAATCTGTCCCACTATATGATTTTTTTATTTTTTCTTGATTCTACCTTACCTACATATTCCAAAGACCGTGTTTACGAATTTTCATGAACTCATTCGATAAACTGATGAAATGGGGTCGTTTGGGCGTCAAAAGAACCTGATTTTCGCCGTTTCATACTTTAATCAAGTAGTTTGGGGAAATCCAGAATGCGAAATACTTCATGGCACAAGAGCTGAAAACTTCACGCCGTTTTTATGAGTTAGACTCTGAAACTTTGCACACATATACCTTGGGTCAATACGAAACGCTGTGCGGCGGGGCCTTTTTCATTTCCTTCCATGGTCGCCGGTTATTCGGGGTCCCAGGAGCCGCACACGACCCCGAAATCTCTAGGACCCCGGATATCCGGCGACAGGGAAAAAAAAAGGCCCCTCCACACAGCGTTTCGTAATGACCCAAGGTACATGTCTGCAAAGTTTCAGAGTCTAACTCCTAAAAATGGCGTGAAGTTTGCTGTTGAATCTTCTTGTATCCATTTCCCTGAACCANATTGCGCCTGTATTTTTTTGTGGCGCACCTTTTCCTGCCTCCTCTCCTTGAGGACATGTGCATGATACGTCACAAGCGCGAATGATGGGAGTCCCCCCCTGCTTTTACTGTGGTCCGGATTCGACGAGCACGTACCCCCCCCCCCCCCCCCCCCCCCCCCCTTCATGCGTCCCACAACACCGCAGATCGGTGTAACGCAAAAATCCCGATAGAGAGTTGAGAAACAGACAAGTGAACCAACCACCCACTTGATGCAGACAACAAAACAACTAGTAAGTAGCTGTTAGACAACCATCCCCAAGGTGGAGAGCGCACGCCCCCCCTCGTCGTCGTCCAACAACGCCCGCTGCTCTTGCTTGCTTGCCACCCAACGCCTCGCACCTGTTCGGGGAAGTTGTAGATGAGCTGGCGGTTGACGAAGACGTTTACACCGTGGTCCACGATCTTCTTGCACTTTTTGCGCATCTTGTCCTTCTCGGCCTCCTCAATCTCTGCCACCTGCTCAACACACGTCACGCCATGCGTAGGAGATGCACAGTTGAAACAACACCAAACCCACAATAGTTTTAGCATAACCAGCAGAAAGCTCCACATTGACGACGCCAACAACCGATGACCACACGGCTACAGGCGTACGTGCGAGAAGATCAGTTGTTCTCTAAGCGGCAGGGACATCGATAGATGTAAAACAGGTGCATGTCAGGACGGCAATGCAACACGAAAGAGTCCCTCCGTCAGCAACGCCGTCATCTTTAACCTTAACCCACATAATTATACCGACACTTGCACCTCATCTCGACTACGGTGCACGGACGGCAAGACCTCCTACTATTTCTANAAGCAGCAGGAGCGGATGGGATAGTCAACGAGTTCATGAAGTTTGGGGGGAAGGGGATGATCCAGCTGATGCTACTGCTATACAATTGGGTGTGGAAAAACGAGTATACGCCAAGTGGATGGAGGGAAGGAGTGGTTGTAAACTTGTTGAAGAAAGGAGACAAGACTGACCCAGGAAACTACAGGGGGATCACACTGTTGAACACAGTAGGACAAGTGTTCTGGAAGCTGCTGGACGATAGGATAGTGGGAGTATTGGAGAAGGAACATGGCATTAGTGAGGGCCAGGCAGGTTTCCGAAAGAAGGGGTGCGTAGACCACGCATTCACGGTAGGGAGAATCATCCAAGGTAG